TGCGTTGTAGGGGGGGGATTTATGTCACCACAAACAGAAACTAAAGCAAAGGTTGGGTTCCAAGCTGGTGTTAAAGATTATAAATTGACTTATTATACTCCTGAATATCAAACCAAAGATACTGATATCTTGGCAGCATTCCGAGTAACTCCTCAACCAGGAGTTCCGGCTGAAGAAGCAGGTGCAGCGGTAGCTGCAGAATCTTCCACTGGTACATGGACAACTGTGTGGACCGATGGACTTACCAGCCTTGATCGTTATAAAGGACGCTGCTACGAGATAGAGCCTGTTCCTGGAGAAGATAATCAATTTATTGCTTATGTAGCTTATCCCTTAGACCTTTTTGAAGAAGGTTCTGTTACTAACATGTTTACCTCCATTGTAGGTAATGTATTTGGGTTCAAGGCTTTACGCGCTCTACGTCTGGAAGATTTGCGAATCCCTAATGCTTATGTTAAAACTTTCCAAGGTCCTCCTCACGGAATCCAAGTTGAGAGAGATAAATTGAACAAGTATGGACGTCCCCTATTGGGATGTACTATTAAACCAAAATTGGGTTTATCCGCTAAGAATTATGGTAGAGCAGTTTATGAATGTCTCCGCGGGGGACTTGATTTTACCAAAGATGATGAAAATGTGAACTCCCAACCATTTATGCGTTGGAGAGACCGTTTCTTATTTTGTGCCGAAGCAATTTATAACTCACAGGCCGAAACAGGTGAAATCAAAGGACATTATTTGAATGCTACTGCGGGTACATGTGAAGAAATGCTAAAAAGAGCTGTATTTGCTAGAGAATTGGGCGTTCCTATCGTAATGCATGACTACTTAACAGGTGGATTCACTGCAAATACTACCCTGTCTCACTATTGCCGCGATAATGGTCTACTTCTTCATATCCACCGTGCTATGCATGCAGTTATCGATAGACAAAAAAATCATGGTATGCACTTTCGTGTATTAGCTAAAGCCTTACGTATGTCTGGTGGAGATCATATTCACGCTGGTACTGTAGTAGGTAAACTTGAAGGAGAGAGGGAGATTACGTTAGGTTTTGTTGATTTACTACGTGATGATTATATTGAAAAAGATAGAAGTCGCGGTATTTATTTCACTCAGGATTGGGTTTCTTTACCAGGTGTTATCCCTGTTGCTTCAGGGGGTATTCACGTTTGGCATATGCCTGCTCTGACCGAGATATTTGGAGATGATTCTGTACTCCAATTCGGTGGAGGAACTTTAGGACACCCTTGGGGAAATGCACCTGGTGCCGTAGCGAATCGAGTAGCTCTGGAAGCATGTGTACAAGCTCGGAATGAGGGACGTGATCTTGCTCGCGAGGGTAATGCAATTATCCGTGAAGCTTGCAAATGGAGTCCTGAATTAGCTGCTGCTTGTGAAGTCTGGAAGGAAATCAAATTTGAATTCCCAGCAATGGATACTTTGTAATCCAGTAATAATCATTCGTTCTATTAATTTCCATTAAACTCGGCCCAATCTTTTACTAAAAGGATTGAGCCGAATACAATACACAATACAAAAATACTTGTTGTATCTAGAATGAATCCTATAGATCTTTCGGATTGATCTATTTTTTTTCTAGTTCATTCTTCTTTTTTGATTTGGAATAGAATGAATTAAAATAGAAATATTTTCTATTTAAAAATGAGAATAGAAATATTTTTTTATTTGTTTTCTCGATTGTATTCTTTTTTTCAACACTAATATTGACAACAGTGTATCAAACAAATATAATCTGATCGTGAATCAATGGATGGATTGACTCATGTCACATAGGTTTTTTACTTCATCAAATGGTGGATTCATTGTATTTTGATTTTGTTTGATACAAACAAGAAGTTTTTTTTCTTGAAATAGAAATATGAAAAAAATAATACTAATTTAAAACTATATTAATAGACAAATAACTACAGTACTGTACTAAACAAGTCGTCTATCATTTTTGATTCTCATTTTTTCTTTTTTTCATTGTATTGTAATATAATGTAATATGTAACATTTGATTCTATTATTTATAGAATTCCATCTTTTTTTTATTGCGATTGGATATACAGATCCTTGTTTGTAATTTTATTAGGGTTGCTAACTCAATGGTAGAGTACTCGGCTTTTAAGTGCGACTCCATTTTTTACACATTTCTATGAACTAATTGGTTCATCCATACCATCGGTAGGGTTTGTAAGACCACGACTGATCCAGAAAGGAATGAATGGAAAAAGCAGCATGTCGTATCAACGGTGAATTCAAAAAATTTTTCATTCATATTGGATCCGACCAATCTTTTTCTTTGAATTGTTGGCTGGGAACAAATGAATTCCGTTGGGTTGAATTAATAAAGGGATAGAGCTTAGCTGCTCGAATTCTAGGGAAAGAAAAAGCAACGAGCTTTCATTTTTTATTGGAATGATTACCACATCTAGTTATACGTTAAAAAAGGATTAGTGCTTGCTGTGGAAAAAGTTTTTCCCACGAATGGATT